AGATGTTCTGCAAAGCGGTCCCCAAGCCTCCGCTTGGTTTCCCCGATGTAGAGGAAGCCACAACGGCCTGCTGTGTTCATCCAGCTCTCCACCTTGTTATCTCAGATTCTCTAGCATCTGCAGTTCCTACTCTCTATTACTTTTGTGCCTGACTTTTGAATTTCCCTTTGTGTTAGCTGTACTTTTGGTTTCTTGGCACTCTACAGTTTCCAGGATGGGGCAAATTGCAGTTCTGAGTTACTTGCTTACTTCCAATCATGTCTGCCTTGTTTGGCAAGGTTGTCCTCTTCTCCCTGTCATTGAGAGAGATCTCTTAACTATACTACCTCAGATCCCTGAGCAAGATCTCCAATTGAGGGCAAGAAACTTAAGAGCACTCTTTCCATTTCTGTACATTCGTGTGGTTGCTGCAACTTCAAAAATTCAGTCCAGGGGAATCGTTGATACCGATGCAGTAGTGTCTCCAGTGAGAAATCCTTCCTACGACAGCTCCAGCACACAGTCCTATCTGTGCTCCGTCACTATTTGGCAAACAAGGAAGTAAGATACCAGATGTCCTCGTTTTTCAAGGACCGCAACTGCCCCCCCACAGTGGTCGAAAACACCCTCGACCGCATCTCTTGTGTTTCCCGCACCTCAGCCCTCACACCCGCTCCCCGCAATAAAAACAAAGACAGAACTCCCCTTGTCCTCACGTATCACCCCATTAACCTCCAGATTCAACGCATCATTCTCCGCCACTTCCGCCACCTGCAATCCAACCCCACTACCAAGGTTATATTTCCCTCCCCACCCTTATCTGCATTCCGGAGGGACTGTTCTCTCTGCGACTCCCTCGTCTGCTCCACACTCCCCACTAGCCCCACCACTGCCGGCACCTTTCCCTGCAACCGCAGGAAGTGCTACACCTGCCCCTACATCTCCCCCCTCACCTCCATCCCAGGCCCCAAGAAAACCTTCCACATTAAATAGGTGTTCACCTGCACGTCTGCTAATATGGTCTGTTGTGTCCGCTGTTCCTGATGCAGCCTCCTCTACGTCGGGGAGACCAAGCGGAGGCTCGGAAACCGCTTTGTGAAGCACCTACGCTCGGTTCGTGACAAACAACGCCTCCCAGTTGAGAACTACTTCAGCACCCCCTCTCACTCCCTGGACGACATGTCCATCCTGGGACTCCTCCAGTGTCACAACAAAGCCACCCGAAAACTGGAGGAACAGCACCTCATATTCTATCTTGGAACCCTAAAACCCAATGGTCTCAATGTGGACTTTATACAAGCTTCAAAATCTCCCCAGCCCCACCCCCCCATCCCCACGTCCTTGGCCTGTCTGTCTTCCCTCCCACCTACCCGCCCCTCCCTCCACACTGACAAACCGCCCATCCCAACTCCCTGCCTACACTCACCTTCACTAGCTTCATCTCCACCTCCTTGACCTGTCCGTCTTCTCTCCACCTATCTGCTCCACTATCCACCTTCTATCACTGCCTCCCCCTCTCTATTTATTTCAGAGCCTCCTTTCCCTCCCCCATTTCTGAAGAAGGTCCAGATCCGAAACGTCAGCTTTTCTGCTCCTCTGATGCTGCCTGACCTGCTGTGTTCATCCAGCTCCACACCTTGTTATCTGTAGTAAGATACCAATGCTGTGGCCAGGCACATTGGAGAATCTAATGGTTTCCTGAGCTGCAATGGCCCTGCTATTTCATTGGGTATAAGAGTCACCGGACATTAAAGGTTAACAGTGTTTTCTTCTGACAGCTGGTGCAGACTTGCTGCGTTTCTGTAGCAATTTCTGTTTTTGGCTTAGATCTGTAGTTGTTGGTTTACTTTGTTCTGTGTGTCAGCTTATAAAGCCTAGCATTGTTTCTTTTTAATATATCTGCCTTTTCAATTGTTCTGCCACCTGGAAAAAATTGTGCACATATAGTCGTCTCTGATGTTTCTAGGTTCCCTTTAAAATTATACCTTTTTAATTTATTTATTTTTGTTTTTCCTAATTTTTCCTCCTAAAACACCACACACACTGGAGGAGCAACACCTCATATTCTTCCTCGGGCGCCTACAGCCCGATGGCCTGAACATAGAATTCACCAGTTTTAAAATCTCCCCACTCATGGCCTCATCCCACATCCAAATCTCCCTTTCATCCCCACCTCCTTGACCTGACACAACCTGTCCACCTTCTTCCCCACCTATCCACACCACCCTTCCTACTGACCAATCCTCACCACCCCCTACTTGCATCCACCTATCACCATCCCACCTATCTTTCCTCTGGCCCCACCCCTCTTCTCTCTCTTTATTTCTCAGCTCCCTTCCCCCTCCCCAGATCTGAAGAAGGGACCTGAACCGAAATGTCGACTTTCCTAGTTCTCTGAAGCTGCCTAACCTGCTGTGCTCTTCCAGCTTCACACTGTTGTCTCTGACTCCAGCATCTGCAGTCCTTTTTAACTCTGAGTGACTTAGGTTGTCTATCCATTTTATTAACCTCTATTTGTCCTTTTGAAGTCTGTTGCTATTTTCTGCATTGTTTCTGTGTTCGAGTTTCATGTCATGAATTTCTTCACCCAGAGGGTTGTCAATCTATGGAACTCCTTGCCCAGTGAAGTAGTTGACGCTACTTCAGTAAATGTTTTTAAATAAAAGGTAGATTTTTTTTTTGAACAATAAAGGAATTAAGGGCTACGGTGAGAACGCGGGTAAGTGGATCTGAGTCCACGAAAGGATCAGCCATGATCTTATTGAATGGCGGAGCAGGCTCGAAGGGCCAGATGGCCTACTCCTGCTCCTAGTTCTTATGTTCTTATGTCATTTTTACCCTTTGAAATAAGGCTCCAAGCCCTCAAGTTCACGTGAATAAAATGTATCAAAGAGCAGCGATGCATACATTGATTCCAGGGAACACATCTCAGTCTCTCCCTGTTTCCTTTCAGTCTGTAAACTAACTGTTAACCACTACTCTTTGCTTTCTGCCCCTTATTCTGTTTTGTATCCTACACTGCCACTATCCCTTTAAATTCCACATGCTTCAATTTTAATAATAGGCTTATGGTACTATATCAAATGCCATTTGTAAGTCGATATGCAATTGGCCACCCACAGGAACCCTTTCTGACACTCAGGCAGCAAAGTCTAATCATGTTAGTCAAATGTTGTTTCTCCTTAAATCTGTGCTAGCTGTCATTTATTAACTGATATTCTTGCAAGACGCATTAGTTTTTTCTCGGATTATTGTCTCAAAAAAGCTTTCCCATCACCAAAATTAGGCTGACAGACATGTAGCTGTCAGGTTTATCTCACTCATCCTTTGAACAGCTTACTTGAAACAAAGCTTGGGCCACAATCCACTCAGTTAGATTTGTGTGGTCTAAAATAATATCTTGGAAGTAGGGAATATGTCAACTACTTATTGGTCAAAGGGGTACAGCAAATATTTATAATCACTATGTTTGTGTTTGTCTGCTTCCCCCTTTGCTGTTCTCTCATGCACTCCCACTCATGTGCTCACTCTCTTTGTCCTTCTCTCCTGAGCCCGCTCGTGCTCTTTGCCCTTCTCTCGCATGCCCGCTCGCTCTCTTTCTCCCATCCCTCTTGCGCCCTGCCTCCCTCTTCCTATCCAAACTTTTGCTTAATTTGTGATTCTCATGCTCACAATTGTATTGGGCTCGTGGCTAGTAAACCTTTTCGTTCCTTTTTGTTTCATTCACTATTCTGTTCCTTTTGTCCCTCTTTTATCTCCTGTAACAATTCGATTCTATACTTTCTCTGTTGTGCCAGTTCTCTACTACATTATGAACCTTAATTTATCAAGTTGATCTGGAAACATACTGATCAAGCACTGGAAATGAGGTCATAATTGGTTATAGAGACAGGAAGGGATTAAGTGGAAGATCGAGAAGCATGGGGGAGTGTATGACTGATGAGAAAAATAAACAGGAAAAATATTTAATTATTGACACGAGCAGGAGGAAGCTGTAAATATTATTTCATTATTGATTGCTGCGAAGTTTGTTTTTAGAGGAGAGGATACATTTATTGATTATTTTGTGACTGAATAAAAAAAAGTACAAAATTATTTCTTGAGTAAAATCTGAGAATTAGAAATACAAATGCTTAGATACACAGGGATGTATCGACATTTGAAAAGGGAAAAGAAGTCTAACATTTTTGTAATATTAATCTGCTTCATTATTTTCTGTTTTTACTTCAAATTTGCATCCACGTAGGTCACGGAGACACACCAGGCCATAAACCCATTTTCAATTATTTATTGATTTATTAGTATACTTTATTGAATTTGCACAAGGTGAGGTTTACAGATGCTTTCATTTATATATCATCTTCATTAGAGTAAAATGTTCAGAGGTTTTATTTGGTTGAGTGTCAGATCCATGAAGAAGCACAGTGCAAGGGAAGTCACTATGTGTGCGATGCTGGCCTTTGATTTCCAGAATTTAGCGATGGTTGAATTCTGGTTAAGCAAAGACCTGCTTTAATTCACCATCAGCAATATTCTCCATTCTGTTCCACATTAAGTTCAGCTTTTTTTTAATCTCATGTTCTTTTGCAAAATTTGTGTTCCATCTCCTCCATTTCATTGATTTCAGAATCTTCCTACTCCTGTGTGAGTGCCTTTTATGACTTCATCTTCCACATCTTCACGTCCTGCAGCTTTATGTTCCAGCCCTCTCTTCTGTGTTTGGTTTCCTTTGTAACCCATTTTTCCTTCAGCCATTGCAGCAGGGCCTTCCACCATCTTGATCCTTTAGTCTGGCAAATCTTAGAGCCACATAATTGATAAGATGCAGAATGAGTCCATTCAGCCCATTTTCCCCACTTGATATCCTCTATTATGTCAGATCTTTCCCTTGTCTTAAAAGCTTTTTTTTGAAGCTTGTCTTTTTGATCTTAGCTTAGCTTGGATTTCTTGGTTTATTTGCCAGGGATAGGTGGATTTTTAAATTACTGTCTTTAACAGCAGATGTTACTGTTGTTTTGCAGGTGAACTGTGCAGCAAAAGAGATACTTATTATCTTACTGCAGAGCCACCTGGTCTTGAGCACTTCAAGTTGGAATATGTTAATTGAAGCTTTATATCCTGTGATTCCAATACTCCAGGTAAATTATAACTACAAAATTGTGAAACAGTGCTTTGGTTTTTCTTACGCACAACATAACTGGCACAATTTTAGTAGAGCATCAGTGAATTAGTGCTTATTTGCTCAGTGCCTGGAACATACAGACAAACAAACAAGGCTTTGTTTTACTTCAATAAATCAATCGTTGCCATGTAACCTTGGGTAAGTGAATTAGATACTTTTTTGTTAAACTCAGGCAGTTGAATATGATATAAAGGTGTATTAGCATCAGAATGTAATGCTTAATTTTGTCACAGGACATTATTATTTGTGAGTTTTGGTGTAAAGGTCTAAAGTATAAGAGTAGTTAGCATTGCTTTGCAGCAAAAATGCATGTTAGTCATGCTACAGTAGATACATTTTAAAGCAGTGCTTCCACACCCACTCCCGCCCGATTTTTATTCAATGCATCATTTCTCAGTGAGCAAGGGATAGCAACAACGTGGAGTTTTCTTTCAATATGGTACACTCTTTGGCCAAGGTAAGCAAATAATTTGTATTTATAAAATATAAACTATATATTTGTGCACACAAGCAACTATATAGTAAAACACCAGACTTTTCCTGTGAATTTGAGCTATTGAACAAAATCCCTTGTGGAAGCCTATGAAGTGCTAAAGTTATCAAAATTAAAGGAAGTCCAGTTCAGTACCATTTTATTCATACTGGGAAAAATAATACCTCAGATTCTGGAAACAGGTAGAAAAAACATTTTTTTTATATTCACTGGTACTGTTTAAATTACTGAGTGTTGCCAATATTTTCTACTTTATTTTGTTCAGAACTTGTCACATGGTTAAAATTTCATTCGAGAATGGTTAGTGCTATTGCAGTGATATTTAAACTGCAGCCGTATAATTTTTTTTCCTCTTCATTGATCCTTCATGCTCAAGTGGCACCAAGATTTGAAACGGTCAGTTGTTATTAACATCCCTACAGAAAATTGTACATCATCGGTCACATTGTTTCCAGGACTTTGGAGTAAAAAAGGTTTATCATGCAACTTCTCTTTCAGATGCTTGAGAGAGACCACCATTAACACAATGTAAAATGGCTGTCTAATAGGTAATCTAATGGGTAATCTTCATCGATTTTTACCAAAGTTAGTTTGTCATTTGCACATCATCTGAGTTACTCTGACCACCACTTATGTAGGATGATTCAGCCTGTCATGCTTGCTATGCTGTTCAATTAATTTAATTCCATTTACCTGTTTTCACTGCAAGTCCTATGATATCCTTACCAAACAAGAGCATCTTAACCAAATCCATCCTGTAATTTTCAATTGACCTAGGATGCACAACCTTTGGAATCTTAATCCAACACTTCACTACCAGTTGTATGTTCAGAGTCCTAAATAGCCCAGCTCAATTTTTAAGGTTATGTCTTCTTATTCTGAATTCACCCATAGGCAAAAATATATACATTGTGTCAACTCCATCGGATCCCTTAAGCATATTAAATGCCTCGTAAACCCAAGGGAATAAAAGGAAAGTCTATGCAACCCATCCTCGTAATTCAACCTTTTCAGTTGTAGGAGCATTCTTGGGAATTTGTGCTACACTCAGTCCAAGTCCAGTAAACAGATAATAAAAATCAGGAGCCATTTAGCCCTTTTTTTGAGCCTGTTCTGCACTCAATGAGGTAATGGCTGATATGTTTGTGTTTCAAATTCCACATTTTTCCCCTAGCCCTGATGACATTAGATTCTTGTGAGGGAAAGGAATAAATCTACCCTACCTTAAAAATATTCAGTGACTCTGCCTCAGCAGGTGGTAGAGACAGAGAATTCCAATATCTCTCCATTCAAGAGAAAACAAAACAATTCACCACATTTGTCCTAAAATGGCAATCCCTTGTTTTGAAACAGTACCTCCTATTTCTGGATTCATTCATGAAAGGAAATAACTTTTTCATGTCCACTTTGTCAAGACCATTCAGGAACGTCTGGATAACAAGGACACTTACATCAGACTCCAACTCATCGACTACTGCTCTACCTTGAACACTATAATCCCTTCCAGACTGATCTCAAAACTCAGAGACCACGGTCTCGGCTCCGCCCTCTGCAACTGGATCCTCAACTTCCTGACCCATAGACCACAATCAGTGAAGGTAGACGACTGCACCTCCTCCACGATAACCCTTAACACTGGAGCACCACAAGAATGTGTTCTCATCCCCCTACTGTATTCCCTGTACACCCACGACTGTGTAACCAAATTCCAAACGAACGCCATCTACAAGTTTGCTGACAACACCACTGTAGAAGGATGGATATCAAAAAGGAGACAGAGGGCTTTGTGTTGTGGTGCAATGACAACAACCTCTCTCTCTCAATGCCAGCAAAACAAAAAAACTGATCATTGACTTCAGAAAAAATGGAGGAGAACACACCCCCATCTAAATCAACAGAGCAGGGGTTGAGAATGTCCGGTTTTTAGGAGTGACGATAACTGACAATCTGTCCGAAACTTCCCACATAGATGTGATGGTCAAGAAGGCACAGCAACGCTGCTTCCTAAGGCGGCTTAGGAAAATTGTCACGTCCATGAGGACCCTCACCAACTTTTACTGATGCACCATAGAAAGCGTACAATCTGGGTGTATAAAAGCCTGGTAAGTCAACTGCTCTGCCCAGGACCGTAAGAAACTACGTGCACAGCCCAGATCATCACAGAAGCCAGCCTTCCATCTGTGGACTCCATTTACACTTCTTGTTGTTATAGAAAAGCTGTCAGCATCATCAAAGAGTCCTCCCACCCTGCTAATGCTCTCCTACAACCTCTTCCATCTGGCAGAAGATACAGAAGCTTGAACGCCTGCACCAGCAGGTTCAAGAACAGCTTATTCCCTTCCGTTATTAGGCCGATGAATGGACGCTCTAACTTTAAATAATGGCGATCTTGTTAATGTTGATCTTGCTTTGCGCACTTCCTGTGCAGTGTAATCTGCATTCCTCACTCTGTCTAAGCACCCTATGATCTGTATGATCTTGTTTACTATGATCTGCTTGCAAACAAAGCTTTACACTGTACTTATGTACACTTGACAATAAATCAAATTCAAATTCAAAATTCATATTCTTCAGTGAAATCACCTCTGAAACCTCCTCATAAGACAACTTGCTGAATCCAGGGATCAATCTATGAAACCTACTATGAACCACATCGAATGCATCTATATCCTTTCTTTAAAATAGGAGACCCAAACTAGACACAGTATTTGAGATGTTTCATCCTGCCTGAAGCATAATAACATTACCGTCGTCAACAAAATCAGAAATTGCTAGAGAAACTCAGCAGGTCTGGCAGCATCTCTGAACAGAAAACAGAGTTAATATTTTGAGTCCAATGACTGTTCTTCAGAACTGTATTCTTTTGTGGAGTGAGGTGCTCACAACAGCATGCACATTCCCTGACAGTGCCTGGTCTAGATTTTTTTTTACAGCTGAAGTTTAATTTCCTCATTTTCATATTTGCAATATATGTCAATGTTCCCTTAGACTTAACAATTCTCTATTGTGCACACTATTAACTTTTAATACCTGTATTCTAACTTTTAGTCATTTGTGCAAATGGACACTTTAATTCCTTTTTCTTCCACGGCTCATACTCTTTCCCTATTGAGAAAATGTTTTGATTTCTCTTTCTTCAATCCATGTGGATGACCATGTAATTTGAAAGTTTTGCCACATGCTCCTATAAATGCCCATTAGGGTTGACTACAACATGGACAAATCGCTGATTAAGACCACATGTTTATTCAGTACCTGCTTTTGAGTCATGAATGGTGATTGTTACAGTTTTGAGGTCTTCCCATGCCTTATTACAATGTGCTTTTTCTAGGGCTTTGCATCAGTTGAAGATCCACTAGGAACATGCATCCTTGCACTGAGTGGACCATGCAATGAAGATACTGCTGGCATTCTGTCATGCGCAGCCAAAATTCGTGCATCTCTTCGACTTTTTATGAGCAAACTGCATTTGTAAGCATATTCTAATTTATTTTAAAATAAGTCACTCTCTTTAGTATTGAACTGAGATGCAGCAAGTAAGTTTCATCAAATTAGAAAATGCAAACAGTTACATTCATTACATAGTGCCGGTGTCAGCACATTTTGATGAAGGGCAAGTCATGCTTGACAAACTTGCTGGAGTTCTTTTAGAATGTTAGGTGGATAATGCGAATCTGGTAGATGTGCTCTATCTAGGCTTCGAGAAGGCATTTGCTCAGCCCTTTGAGTATAGGAGTTAGGAAGTCATGTTCAGGTTGTAAAGGACATTGAGGCCTCTCTTGGAATACTGTGGCCAGTTCTGGTTGTCTAGTCATAGGAAGGATATTATCAAGCCTGAGAAGGTTCAGAAGAGATTTACCAGGATGTTGATGGGTATGAAAGGTTTGAGTTCTAAAGAAAGGCTGCATAGGCTGGGATGTTTTTTCACTGGAGCATAGGAGGTTGAGAGGCAACCTGATAGAAGTTTACAAAATAATGAGAGGTATTGATGGAGTTATTCTTAGGATGGGGGATTTCAAGACTCGGGGGCACATTTTTAAGGTGAAGGAAGAGTGAGTCAAAAAGACATGAAGAGCAAATTTTTTTACACAGGGGGTGGTTCGCATGTGGAATGAACTTCCTGAGGAAGTGATGGATGCGGGTACAATTACAACATTTAAAAGCCATCTGGACAAGTACATGACTAGGGAAGGTTTGCAGGGATATGGGCCAGGAGCAGGCAGGTAGGACTATTTTAGTTTGGAATTATGTTCAGCATGGACTGGTTGGACTGAAGGGTCTGTTTCAGTCCTGTATGATTCGGTGCTGAATTAAAGACTGATCCCAGAAGGTTAGGGGTAGAATATTGACTTAGACTGGCAAATTGACAGAAAGCAGAGTCAGGATAGATGGGTCCTCCTTAGATGGTGAACTGTAACTAGTGGGGTGCTGCAGGGTTCAGTTCTTGGACCTCAACTATTTATAATCTATATAAATGATCTGCAAGCAGGGACAGAGTACAAAGGAATACAGGAATATAGCAAAGTTCATAGATGATACCTAAAATAGGGTAGGAAAGAAGGCAGTGAGGAGGAGATAGACTTTACAGATGCATATTGATAGGCCAGGATAATGGGCCAGAATCTGGAGATGCAGTTTAATGTGGTTAAGTGTGGGGATGTCCATTTTGAATGAAAAACAAAAGGGCAAATTATTATTTAAATGGGAAGCAGATCAAAGCTCAGAGGGATCTGGATGTCCTTGTCCATGAATCGCAGGAAGTGGATACACAAGAATACAATAAGAATGGCAAATGTAATCCTGGCATTTATTGCAAAAGGGCTAGATTGTAAAAGTAGTGTTGTTACAATTACATAAGGCATTGGTGAGACCACATCAGGAATATTGTATACAGTTTTGGCCTCCTTACTTGAAGAAGAATGTGGTACCACTGGAGGCAATTCAGAGGAGGTTCACCAGGTTGATTCCAGGCATGAAAGGGCTGTTGTTTGAGTAGCAGTTGAATAGCTTGGGCTTGTACTCACTGGGGTTCAGAAGAACGGTGGTGATCTGATTGAGGTATGTAAAATGCTAAAGAGAATTGATAAGGTGGACGTTGAACAAAAGATCCCCCTTGTGGAACAGTCTCAAACTAAAGGTCATAGATATGGAGTGAGAGGAGGTAGATTCAGAACTCAGATGAGGAAAAACCAATTCCCTGAGGGTTATGAATCTGTAGAATTCACAGCCCCAGAGTGCAGTTGAGGCAGAATCAGTCAACAGATTCAAGAGGGAAATAGATGTGTGTCTGATGAAAAGGGCTATGGGGAGCAGGCAGGAAAATGGGGTTGAGACCAGGATAAGATCAGCCATGATCATAGTAAATGGTGGAGCGAGCTCAAAGGGCAGAATTACCTACTCCCGCTCCTAATTACTATGTTCTTGTGATCCTTTCAAATTATTGGGACATATCTAAACATTTCATAACCAATCATGAACTTTTGAAGTTTGGTCACATTTTAAGAAAATATGCACTGCAAGTTCCCAAAAATACACATGATAAATTAATCAGTTATTTTTAAATCAGATCTCCCAATGGATCTAACTTCAAAGAGTACCCAAGGAGAGATATCATACTTATCTGGGAAAATAATTGTCCTTCAATCAAAACTACATTATCTGCTTGGTGTTGTTTGTGGGATCCTGCTGTTTGCACGTTAGCTACTGTTTACCTAGGGTACTACAGTAACTTCACTAAAAGACCTGTTGATACAGTGAGATGAAGTAGGTAAACATCATGTGGATTATGAACATTGGCGTAGACTTGGGCTGTTTTTCTGCTGTAGAGTTGTTGTAAGAAGTACTCTTTGAAGAACCCTCTGCTAAGTAAATGTTCTCAAATTATGTACTTTCTACTTTCTTCTTATGATCTCATCAAGTCAAGAATGAGTCGTAAGAATTAGCAAGTCAATTTTCTTAGCTTACTGGTGGGGGGAAATATTTAAAGCAGTTAGAATTCAAATTGACTCTAGATAATTCCATCAGTGAGAAGCAGATGCTGCATGTTACATTTTGGAAAGGCATGTTCTTGAATTAAAATCAAACCATTAGCACTCTGTACATGTATCATCAATACCAGCAAGTTATTTATAACCTAAAAATTGTCTAACGGTACAAAGGCAGAAAAAGAGTCAGTGGCAAATTCCTTCAGTGAAAGAGTTATGATATTTATTGTTCTCTCAACATATTGCACAATTGAATTGAAAGATGTAGGTTAACTCAACAGGCTATCTGCTGGCATTCCAATCTTTCAAGGCTATCCGAATTAAGTTCGATTACCTGAGCAATGTTATTAGCCGCAGGACAAGGGGACCTTCAGAACGTTTTCAAATAATCGGCAATAATCGGAATGGTTTCTACATATCTTCATTGACCTGCCAGGCCTCTCCGCTGGTAAATGCAGTAATGTAGGAAGTTAATATAGGTAGAGGTAAAATTTCCTGTTCTTTCTCTTTAATAACAATTAGCTGTTGTCCTGTCAGCAGACAGATTTACACACGATTTCCAGCACAGAAACAGACCATTTGGCCTAACTTGTCTACCTGATACTTATTCTCCACACAACCTGCACCCACCTTACTTCTTTGAATCCTATTGATATGGAATTAAACATTTCCATTTATTTGCAGAAGAAACACACGACTTCTTTTCAGTAGTTTCAGAGATGATGCTTGAAAAAAATGAATTTGTATACCAATTACAAATCAACATTAAAGGTTTCATCACTAAAAGAGAAATGTGATGCAAGGATAAAATTGAAAGGCGTTTGGGAATTCACCAATTAATTGCTGTGCAACATCTAGAATTCTAATGATAGTAAAATCATGAGAAGCAATGGAAGCAAAATGATATGGCTCCCACCACAATGATGAAACAGCAGTGTCATTCAGGGCTGAGGCTACAACTCATCTTGATGAATAGTTGGATCTTTTCCGTAGACATTAAAAGAAATTTACTGGAATGGGAGGATTTGACATAATGCAAATATCTAACCAGAAATGATTTGTAGTATTAGTTTATTCCCCCATCAATTTATTACAGAAATAGTATTTATTGAAGGAATGCTAGCTTCTGTTTTGATAGGGTGTCAAATAAATGGTTGAAATTTGGAGATTATCTAATTTATTCTGCAATCTGATATCTTCCAAATGCAATTGTTACAGTGCCGGATATCTATGATGAGAATATGTGGAGAGTCACCCTTTAAGGGTTCTTTGGGAGCAAGTGTTTGGTGCTTGCCTGTAGTATACAGGAATGCTTTGGACATGAAACGTGTGGAAGTTAGTCATTTATTTTGCTTCAGTGGAAAAATTATGTCACTATCAATATGCAATAGTCTTGTCAACAGATCAACTCCCAACTGAGTCCTTGTCATGGATATGAACTGAAGTTAATTTATGTGACCTTGCATGAGCATAACTGATGATAGCTAGTCACTTCTCTAACTTGGTTGTTTTGTTTTAGTGCAACTGCTCGTGCTAATAAGGGACAGCCACAGAAAGATTTTAGGGAACTTGATTGAATTAACTACCTTTTGTTAAGATGAATGATGTTCTGGTACCAGATTTAGCCTGTAACCATACCAATTCTTTTGCATTTGTCTCTCTGTCGGCAAGATTCTGAATAATATTTTCAAATGGATTCTCTACCTAGAGGTGACAAACTCTGGTTCACTAATGGAGTTGTGTGGAGCTGCAGCTCTTCTTTTAAATGTTCACTTGCTTTTCTGTTCTAGAAATTGAGATTCCTTGCTTCTTGGGCTTATCCAGGTTTGAGGGCCCAAAACCCTTGGGCTTGACCTTCAACGCATCCTTGAGCTAGAAAATAAAAAGAATGTCTTTGGGAGGCAGGGTCTGTCGTTCAATCTAAATCGTCCCATTCCAAGGAAGGTTTTTTTTTTACTTTTTTTTTCTTCTCATTTAGAGAATCCTCAAGCAAAAGTCACCAAGGCAACTACCATGGCCCCACGTAGGTGTTTCACATGCAGAATGATCTGTCCCTGAGTGGCTGGATTTGCTACTAAGCTGTCCTTGATACTTGTGCTGTTGAAAAGATGAGAAATCAAGGAATTACTGTTCAAAATGTTAGAGAACGATGTTGGCATACAGAATTCAACTAAGTGTACTTTGTCCGCCCTTCTCAAGTTTTTATCCTTTTGAGCATTAGTACTGATTCTTGATTGATTGGCTTTCCAGGTGGTACGTAATAATAGATCACAATATTATTCTATGGGGGAAAAAAAGCATGGTTACACATGCTGGCTCAGGTTCTTATTAATGATCACCTAAATTTATGTCCTTTGGTTACTGTCGTACTACTGCTGGAAAATATGGGCAGAATCTTCTCAGCCCTTGAATGACGCTGGCAATAGCAGGTCAGATGGGAAAATGCGGCGAGACCTGGAAAACGAGAGTCATGATATGAAGGAAAATAAAGTTGATTTTCAGCTTGAGGATTTTAACGGCCAGACAAGAAACTCGCTAATGAGAAGTGAGAGGCCTATTTATGTGGAATTAAAACCTCATTATTAATTCTTGTCACCTCATTTATATGCAGTTTGCTATTTTACCAGGCAGTGCAGAGAGGATAGACAGTGACAATTTCTAACGTGAAAGTCTGAGTGGATACCTAGCAGCTTCAGTTTGTCATGAATTTCTCCAGCCCACTTCTTGATCCTCTGAGCCTTGACCAGCGTTCCCCAACATCTCAGGACACACTCCATGGGCAGCACCCATCTGTTTCCTTCATCCAAAGAGTCTAGCACCAGACATGCACCGGCCTCATCACATCATCGCAGCACATCACTGTCTACATTCAAGTATAGTTCAAAACAGTAATGTACTTTGGAGTGAACTGAAACCTTTCATTGTAGTACTGCTGCCAGACTACTTCACGCGAAGCAAAAGCACCCATCTCGTGCACTGGAACAGGATGAATCTCGAGACTCTAAGTTTGTTCTCTTTGCACACACCTACTCACTTTGCTGTTGCACAGTTGCTCACAGCAGCTGTATTGTGGAGGCTGTGGTGGGGTGTGGACATTTTGCTGTACAGCACGCGCCATTCAATGTCACACCTCCAACATATGTCTTCAGCGTACACAGCACACACTGTCTGTGCTTTGACCAAATGCCCATGCCTCAAAGTCTAAGAGGAGTAATCCTCAGTCAAGTCAACGGGAACTGTCATTTTGAAAAAAATGGAACTGTCATTAGTCAGAGGGTTCAGCCACAAAAAATCAAAAGGTCATTCAGTTTGAGTCCTGTGCACAGACACAGTCTGTCAGCCACTTGGGCCGTTTATTGTCAGGGGTAACGAATCAATGCAATCTGGGGATTTGGCCATGGTTAGTCCTGTAATTTCAGTACAAACAGTACAGGCATTAGTCATAGGTCAGTTGAGTTGCTGCACTGAGATCAGTTGTGGGTCTGATCAGTCATCAGTCAGTGCAAATTAATTTGTGGAGAGGACCATACTCCGTCCTATGTCTGTTTATTGGGAGTAAAGGGCTACTTATTCAGGGCCGTAACTGGTATGCAGATTAGAGAAATGAATTGTGGAAACTGGCGACAGCATGCTACAATACCGGGAGAGCAATAATTATGAAGTGGAGGCAACTCAACGAACAAGGATGGGAGACATTAGAGTGCTGTAGACCAAGGTTGCGAGGAAGGGAGAGTGTCATCAATGGTCAGCACTAACCTATTGGCTTCATTGGGCAGACAGTAAATCACGATGTCAATGTAACTAAGCTGTAGGCCTGGGGCTTGCAGTAAGTTGGGGAATAGTGACTTAAATCAAAAAGTTGGGTAGGAATGTGAGGAAACTCATTAAGGTGTAATATTGAGGTTTGGGGGCAAGAAGAAAAATTGAAGGCAAAGTTCTGGGTGGTGGGAGGGATAGATGGAAATATCTTGTTGCGGTAGTGTGAGGTAAAAGGAGACAAAGGCTGTTAGGAATACCTGATGACCAAACGGAACCCAGTGCTGATAGTCCACTGCAAACTGTGTTCCCACCATTACTTGCATTCACTAGATGCTAACTGGAACTGGAAAACTGCTGGAGCAGGTTGGTTGAATTAATTGTCAGTTTGATTAGCAAAAGCATGGCATCCATGTCAACTGAATAGTAGGACAATGAAGGGCCATACACATGAGTCATGCTTTTGCAAACTCCAGCTACATTCACTTTCCAATTTCGTCACCCCACTTAGAATGAGTGAAATTAAACATGCTCAGGTTTCAAATGCAATTTTGAAACTTCCAAGAGTGCTGTGGGAAGAGAGGGATGTTGCTTCCTTATGACATTTTGTGCTATAATGGATGGTGCTGAATTCAGTGATAAGTTGAATGAATGTTGGGTCGGGGACAGCAAGGGGAGGGTAGTACACTCTTTTTTGATGTACTATGTTGGTTACTCAGCCAGTGTGGCACCATCATCAAGCTGGTGCACATATTGTGACTAGGATCGTGGTGGAGCAGATGATAGGGCCGCTGAAGATGCTGTCCTGCTACTTGCAGAAGTCTGGAGGTGCGCTCCAGTATAGTCCAGCATGTTGTGCCTTGTACAAGTGGAGCAGGCAACCAGGTGCTGGCTGCTTAAGAACTTGGAGAATGGAAGCCAGGCTTCCAAAGAGAAGAATGGGGACATCGGAGAGGAAGAAATCTCCTTGTTCAAAACAGAACTCATCTACATCAGGGACTACAAACCAGATAGAATCTGATTGATATTCTGCTCCAACAGATGAGAGCTGGGTGCAGCAGACAATTTGGAATTTAGAATAGTTTTTGGTAATCATGCCAGCATTTAGTTCGTGTTGTGGGGTATGAACTGTAGCCATCTTGGTTTTGTTTGTGTTCACTTTGGCTGTAAATAAAAGCTCATGTTTGAAATTGTCCAGTTTCTTGCCCATATGTGATATTCCTTTACTGAGCAATATCAATCTGCAGGTGTCCAGTGTGCTAGATTGCGAACTCTTGTCTGGGGTGCACAACAGCCTTTTAAGATCGGCCTCAGCACCGGGGTAGCCAATCCTTTGGTTCAAATCAGATGAATAGCGTATGGTAAAATAGACCTAGAAAAGGGTGAGTGGGTCAAGTAGTTAATGAGGTGGGTTTGGTAAATGTGGCAGACTAGGCCTCATGGCAAAAAAGCCTTCAGAGTACTTGATGCAACTGACACTTAACCAAAACTAATGTCTGATTAAGTACCTGGTGTCACAGTAAAGACTCTTTAATATGATTCATTGGTTAAATAGACATGCTTTTGTTTAGGTTCCTGGCGTACTGTGGTAGTGTCTCTCTCTTTGAGCTAGATAGTTTAGGTTGAAGTTCGACCTACCATGGAGGTGTTGGAACAAGTTGATTTCTTACCTAATCCATACAAGTCTCTGATGCAGCAGAGGGCACTATGCTGCTGTGCCTCTAATAACTGCAAGTTGCAATGTTAGAAAACAAAGTCTGGTATGATATGTGTGACCAAAGCCTTCTGCCGTTCACCAATTACTGACTGTAATATCCGAACCATACTTTAAAGGCTTTTTTCAAGTGCACCTTGATCCATATAGCCGTAAAAGCTTTCTTGCTTGTTCTAAGGAAGGGTCACCGGACCCGAAACGTTAACTCTGATTTTTTTTCTTCACAGATGTTGCCAAAGCTGCTGAGCTTTTCCAGCAACTTCAGTTTTTGTTCCTGATTTACAGCATCTGCCGTTCTTTCGGTTTTTGCTTGTTCGTTGTTTGCTTGCAGTGAGCGTCTTTACACTTTTTCCCTCATGAGCATTTTTATTTAGGTTTATACTACAGCAAATCTTTTGTTAGCTGGAACCTATAGGACCAGGAATGTACCAGTTATCAAATATTCTGGTTGATCAAGAGATCCACACTAAGTAACAGAAACGCTATGCAGCGGGGTATATATTTGCAGCATAAATCACTTAAATAATAACTTAAAAAAACTTATCGACAGAGAGCCTTCTCACTTGCACCCTCAACTGACTACTCGGATATTGTGGAGATCACAATAATACAGTAAACTTGTAGTGTTTCAGTATATAACTTGCTGATTTATCAAGAGTGCTGGTCCATTAGGTACTGGTTAAGACACCGTTTGCTGTTATTGCTTCTCTGGGCATAAGAAAATGTGGGACATAACCATAAGATCTATTAGATTTTAAAAGGGGAGCATTCCTAGAAATTTGCAGTGGTTTCAAGAGCAGGTTGATGGAATTTGTGAATTTTCTCTGGATTCAATCTATAGCAAAGTGGGAGATGACTTCATCAAAGAATGTTGACACTACAAAGACAAATAATCGTGACTAGTTATTTGCGATAGTTCAGATAATTGTTCAAATATGATTTGAATTTTGCAGATCAGACACTTAACTAAGCAAATACCTTTTTTTATTTCCTGTTATACCTACACACTTTAATTACGTCATTATCAAAATGGCTGCCTTGAATCAAAGTATTTCAACTTCCAGTCTGTGAACATACCAGGCTTCTACTCTACATGTTTAATATGCATTTGGAAAATAACATTTGTAATTAACCTACTCTGTTAGCCACAAGCAGCTTTTTTGATAGTATGATCTGAATGCCTTTATGTCAAAAGGTATAATTGTCCTACCTGTTTTCTTCAATAGAGTGCGCTCTGTAGCTTTTACACACTTGATGCCTCACCTGGTTAATGAAGAAGATGCCTCCGACAAACTTCCTGTGCTGCAAGGAAGTATATTGAATCATGTGTCTGATTTGTACATGTTGGAGAAATCTATTGATTTGCAATTAGACACTGGCAAATCTTTTTTCAAGGTGAGGAGCTGACAATTTTGTTCCTTCTTTTTAACTACAGTATACAGGGTACAAAGTGTTTCTGTGTTGACCTTCTTGTGTAGAATCTATTTGTATGTAGTTAGAGATTAATGATCTTTTTAGCCAAATAATTCCTAAATATAACATCGTGAAGTTCAAGTGAATTCAATTAACTTACGACATAGATACTGACGAAAAAAGCCATTCAGCCATTAAGTAATATTACAACCTCTCTGGCTCTGAAAATTAACTATAACAATTGCAAAAGCCTTATTCTTTCCATTTCTTGCATTTTTGGAAGCAAAGAAATGTAAATTTAAAGTTTTATGACTTAATTTTCCCTTCTTTTGATTCTATTTTCAATTTATTTCCTCTTTTCCTGTCCTTATTTCTCTTCTACAACTGTTTTGACTCCTCTATTTCTTCATCTTCCTAAGTTCTTCCTGTGTTTATCCCCCAGCCATGAAGTCTTATTGGTTGAAGAAATGCCCTATTCACTTGGGCCCTTGCTGCAACATTGTTATTTTAAGTTATTTAAGCTGACGGACAGAGTCAAGTTGCGCAGCAGAGGCTGTTTATTGCTGTGCGGGAAATGCTGTCCAAATATTTCTCCTTCAGACAGCCCCTTAACTAAACCACTTATGACTGTGGTTTTTCTTTTACTGTGCGCATGCCTTACTCTTGTCTGTTAAATTTCATTTGCTATTGTCCTTCATGTTTGCACAATTTAATTGACACTGCCTTGTTCCTGGGGGGTTGTCTCAGATTTTGCTGCCTAATTTAGGTTGATATTGTCTGTCAGTTTAATCAATGAGTTTCTAAATCCTATTTATTGTTGTATATTAGGAACGACAGGTGTTTTGGTAATGATTGCAGAGACGGTTCACTCACCTCTCGGTTATCAACTTACATAAGCCTACTTCTATCCTAGTTTGATCATATCAACATATTCTTCTACCGTATTATTTTTCATATATTTATGCAACTTTCCATTAAATGCTTCACTGCTTTTTCTCTCACCCAGTGCATGCACTGGTGAATTGCACATTTTCACCTCTCCTTTAGTGAAAGAATCTAAACCCAGTGGCATAAATGAGATCACAAGCTTGGTTTGGCTAAAAGAAGGTCTGGTCATGATGCATTATCTCCCCATTATGCTGAGCTTATGCAGTTACTTGGGTTGTACAGCTAAGGTGGGATGTTTGTTGAACTTGATTAGTCTTTCTCTTTTTAATGTACAACTCTGGTAGATTCACACTATCACATTTAAACATCTAAGTCAAAAAGTTTCAGAGATAGCAGGACCTGCAGATGCTGGAGAATCTGAGATAACAAGGT